GGCTCTATAATATGATATAGCAGTAACATTTTGTGGCGGGTGGCTTGTTAGACGCTTTGGATAAAAGCGTCTGACAAGTAACATGTAATGTAACATCAGTTTCAAGTTAAACGACATCTTGGTTCAAGGTTCTTTATTGTCAGACTAACATAGCTACAGATTAATTATGTCGTTGAAAATCTTAGGTCACAGGCTTCTCCAACAATGCCACACAATAATACAGATAAGCAGACAATATTAAAACAACATTAAAATATACTATATTAAAAGTAATACAAAAGAAAAATAGTTTTTAAAAGAGAGAAAAAAACGTGGAATAGTGCAATACGAGTCTATATACAAGTTATTGGAATGATATATTAGATAATACATAAATAATTACTAAGTAGCAGATGAATGTTATGAAATTGTTTCAGCAGTTCAGTTTTTTAACAGTCTTATTGCCTGCGGGATGAAGCTGTCTCTGAATCTGGTTGTTTTAGTCCGGATGCTGCGGTAACGCCTGCAGACTGAACAGTTTGTGGCTGGGGTGATAGGGGTCTTTTATAATCCTGAGGGATTTCCATGGATGGCAGCTCCGTCCTGGTGATGTTCTCTGCAGTTTTCACCACCCTCTGTAAAGCCTTACGATTGAGGTCTGTGCAGCTGCCGTACCAGACCGTGATGCAGCCAGTCAGGATACTCTCTATGGTGCACCTGTAGAAGGTCAGGATACTCTCTATGGTGCACCTGTAGAAGTTGCAGAGTATCCTGGAGTCCATGTTGAACCTTCTCAGCCTGCAGAGGAAGAAGAGCCGCTGTCGAGCTTTCTTGGTGATGGTGGTGTGAAGAGTTCATGTCAGGTCCTCAGTGATGTGGACCCCAAGGAACCTGAAGCTGCTGACTCTCTCCACCGTAGTCCCATTGATAGCGATGGGGGCGTGTCCCTCTCTGTTGCTTCATGTAATCCACAATCAGCTCCATTGTTTTGCTGACGTTGAGGGGGTGAAAAGTTAGGACGATTCTAAGGGCCCGTGACTGACAGGGGCCCCAAACATTTTTAGAACATTAAGAAAAAATGTTTAAGTAACCTTTCATCAATCATCAATAATTAACATTAATATAACGTTATATTGATAATGTACTCACTAAACTTACGATTCATTTAACTTATTTTCTTCCAAAAGTTAATTATCCAAAGCATCAAACACCCCCCTCTATTTACATGTAATGGTTTGGTCCTGCCTTCAAACGCTGTGCGGCACCGGCCCTTTCTAGCAGAGAGTGAGTGCATGTGAGCAGGGATGCTAGTACTTACGTGTGTACGATGTCTCAACGACTAACAAAGTCAGGCTTTCAAGAAAGAAAAGAAAGGAGAGAAAGAGAGAGGGACTAAAGGGCGACAGTATGTCACCCAGTTTTTCAAAAGAAAAGGTGGGTGTGGTGGAAATTAGTCTGTTAGCTAAGCGTAGTCCATTGTAAATAATAATTGTAATGTTTTGCTGACATTAAAGGTGGGGTAAGTAAGTTTGAGAAACCGGCTCGAGATACACTTGTTGTTATATTGCTTGAAATGCTCTTAACATCCCGATAGCAATGAATATCTTAAGTGCTTTAACAAAAAATCCATTAAAAAAAATTAATCGGTGGAAGCCGTGGCGCTGTAAAAAGCACGACCAATAATTTTAGCCGGCCCGGCTAAAATAACTGGATGGCCTACCTGCCTGTCAGCCTTCCATCTGTGCACAAACTTATCTCGTGCCCTCATTGGTCATGTGCGCGTTTGTGTGTGTTGGAGGAGGGGCTCTGTAAGGAAGTGGCAGATTTTTTTCGGTTGTGTATTTTCAAATTCTAGCTCACTCGAGCTGGTTTCTCCAAAATTACCTACCCCACCTTTAAGTACTGTTAATATCTTCACAGAAAATTCTGAGGTTTTTAATTTCACTCCTCTTTTAGCTGACATTTAATAAATGCAGGTACATTTTTAGCAGCTATTCAAAAATGTACCTGCAACTGATGTCCTGGCATCAGTTGTCCCTCCCCTGGTGCCAGGACCAACAGATCCATCTTTAGGCTCCGCAGCCCTGTCCCCCCATAATGCTTTGCAGTCTTGCCGTGCTGTCCATTGAAAGCCAGTTGGCTAGAAAGCTGGACTTCAAGGACTTGATCAGTGACTTTGCCTGTAAGAAGGCTAGGCGCTGGGCTCTTGGTGAGTAAGGCTGAGCAAGGGCTCGTAATAACTGTTAAAGGGCAAGGCTATGGTAACGATATTGGATCACTACACACAAGATGCATGATGAGAAAAAGACTGAGAACAGGTAATAGGTTCCATTCAAAAATGTTATTAAAAAGGCATGTACACCATAACAGATGACTATTGAGATCTATTGTCGGGAATGTTAGTGTTATATCAAATAGTGAATTCTACTGCAGTAGAATGTTGCACGTCTGCACAGTGTTATATGTTCACCGCTCAGTGTCAGTAAATATTGTGCAGTTAGTATTGGACTACAAAATAGATGCAAGCCTATACAGGTAGTTATTTAAAGCATACATGAGTCGGTTGGGTTCTGGAGGTGTGGTTACAGCATTGTGCTTGGTTGGCGTGGCCTGGTGGTGGGGCCCAATGTGATATCTTTTCATGGGGCCCAAAGTCCCTGGCGGCGCCCCTGCTGTTGAGCCAGATGTCTCTTAGCTTGATGGCCAGCTTGGAGGGCACAATGGTATTGAGTGCTGAACTGTAATCAATGAACAGCATTCTCACATATGTGTTCCTCTGGTCCAGGTGTGAGAGGGCAGTGTGGATGGTGAGGGCTATGGCGTCGTCTGTGGACCTGTTTGCTCTGTAGGCAAATTGCAGGGGGTCCAGAGAGTCAGGGAGGGAGGAGGTGATGAAGGTTTTGACTAACCGCTCAAAGCACTTCATGATGATGGAGGTGAGTGCTACTGGGCGGTAGTCATTGAGGCTGGTGATTATTGTTTTTTTGGGGACAGGAACGATGGTGGAGTGTTTGAAGCATGTGGGGACTACAGACTGCAGCAGGGACCTGTTGAAGATGTCTGTGAACACCTCTGCCAGCTGAACTGCACACACCCCGAGAACACAGCCAGGGATGCCATCAGGTCCAGGAGCCTTGTGTGGGTTAACCCTTTTAAAGGATTTGCACACATCTGCCCTGTTTAAAACAAAAGGGCAGGGCTCCTGGTCCTTCTGTGCCTCCACAGCCTGGCTGCTCTCAAAACGTGCAAAAAAGCTGTTCAGCTCATCTGGGAGAGATGCGCACGCAGACACTCCCGCAGCACCCCCGCTGCTCCTTTGTAGTCTGTCATTGTTCTTAGTCCCGCCCACATGTTCCGGGTGTTACAGCCTTTGAAGTCAGATTCATTACATTACATTACATTGCATTTAGCTGACGCTTTTATCCAAAGCGACTTACAATAAGTACATTCGACCAGGAAGACACAACCTTGAAGAAAACAGAATCATATAAGTACATCAGGTTTCATAGAGCCAAACATTTCAAGTGCTACTCAACTGGCTTTAGATAAGCCAGTCCTTTATTAGTATATAAGTGCTTTGTTAATAGTTCTAGATTCCACCTTCTCTTTGTACTGTCTCTTTGCATTGCTGATTGCTCTCCGTAGATCATATTTAGATTTCCTGTACTCCTCCAAATCTCCAGCTCTGCGCGATAGTGCGCGCTTTCAGCTTGGTACGAACCTCGCCGTTTATCCAGGGCTTTTGATTTGGGAATGTTCGTACAGAAACCTTCGGTACCACGTCATCGATGCATTTCCCAATAGGCAGATGACCGTGTCCGTGTGTGTTGATGTTATTGTCCTCAAACACACTCCGTAGATTCGCTTTTATTTATTTATTATTTATTTATTTTATTCAAGGTTATTATAACATTTCAAATTTAATAAATGTTATCATACATATTGCTGAGGGTTTTAGGCTTATACATCATGATTATGTTCTGGTTGAGTTTCTTTGAAGACTTTTAGTGTTATGGAGAAATTCCAGTCAAATATAAGTGTGACTCATGCTCTTCATTGTCTGTTAAATATGGTAAAGGAAACCATAAATTGACAAGATTTATAGGTAAAATTGTAAGTTAAAAATAACAAACCCAGTACTACTATTGCATTAGTTAAAGTTTATCTTTTTTGAGGAGGTTGTGGTTTGTTTTTTAACTCCAGTTATTAAGTCCATATTAACTTTATTTATTTATTTGTGTTTAGGTTCAGGCACTGGTGTATGTTTTAAACATTCAGGGTTCAATAATATACTAAGAAAAATATTAAGTGATTATTTTGCAGTGCTTTAAAATGAATGTTTACAAAAATGTTGGAAAATTGTTGAACATTTATTAAAATGATCAGTTCTTAATAATGGTTATCTCTTTAACTGCTTCTAAATCAGCTGCTATTCTCTTCTTAGTGTATTTAAAAAAATAAAATTTCAGCTTTCATTGAATATTTATTTCCAAAAATGCGATTAAAAAATCTACTTCAATTGTTACATGATACAATGTTCAAAATCTACTTGAATCCGTAACGATATGGAGCTACATTCACATACAATAAAATTAAAATAATAATAATCATCACATAACACAAACACGTGTCTGCCATTTGCTGATATCATGAGCGACAGAAGAAGAAAAACATGGCTTTTTTGTGTACGTCATCAGAAACACATGAATTGTAATTAATTGTCATATCTATTCACATCTGTACCCATTCAAATCATTCAAAGACTGATTTTCATTCCAGGCAGAGAGTCAATATATATATATCAGTTTCCTCATAGCACGGTTAGACCAAGCACACCAACAGTGAACAGCAGAGCTAGAGGGGAAACAAATAATGTGTTAGGCTTTGTTTACACGCATTACATTTCCTATATGCTTTAAAATCTCCTAAGGACAACATCTCTATCTCTTTTGCCTACCTTGGGTCAGAGATTGCTGGATTGTAATGGCATGGCTACTAGTGTTGGTGGCAAGCTCATTGGTGACAGTGGTATTAGGATTTGCCAGGTCTACAAGAGGACTTTTTAATTGGGTGCTGGGGTCCCCAAGAGCACCAGTAGCTGTGGGTTGAAACAAAATATATTAGATATATATGTTTTGAACATGACAAGATATGTATCTATTATTTGTGAGTCTCTGTGACAGTTGATCTTAGTTGACTGTTTGATGTGTGAATGTGTATCTCTGTTTGGTAGGCTTACAGCTGTTGAAAGTTCCTTTGGAGATTGCGATTGCAAACTGGTCTACTCTAGTAATCTGGGCCGGTACAGTGGCGGAAAATGAGCACTGGATTTTTTTTTCATTGATTTTGCCCTTCACGGAATCCACAGGAAGCTGCAGAGCAAAGACGGAAACAGATGACAAAAAAGAAAGCTGGTTTTCAGTATTTTCATGCCATGCAAATGGTGATGGTTTAAGTTAGAAATTGCAATTGTATTGCCTGAGCTACATGTTCAAAAAGGCTAGATATGTGACAATTTAATGCATACTGATTTAACCATAGCATTTGAACTATCTGTTCAGTATTTGACAACAATGATGTGGCAGTTCATGAGCGTTCCACACAGCTGCTATGAAGTCTAATTCATGCACTTGGATTTTACTCACATCTCTCAGAGTCAGCTTGCCATTGTTGAGGACAGCTCCAAAGAATTGAACAACACCATTTTTGTTTGCACACACGTAGGTTGTGTCATTACCTCCCTGTGGAGAAAAACAAAAATTGTAACTTTTTTGAAAGAAGATTTCAAGCAAACTGTTTCAGTAGCTGTGGGTTATACTTAGTGGTATTTAAATCTACAAGTGTGGGACATAACCTGACATACCAGTATGTTGTCGAGTGACAGGGTGGCAGCAAGATAGCCATCGGACTCTCCTGAAAGCCCAAAGTCAAAGTTTCTGCCGCTGCTCTGCTTGGCAGACAGAAAGAAACATGATGAATTTGTTGAGGGGTCGCAGTCCGAGGGCTCAGCGGCACAGAGCTGCCCAATCCCGCAGTCTGCCCTGTTGATAGCTGTCTGTAAAGGAATGAGATATATATTTTTAGTGGGAGAAAAAATGTAGCCTCAATGATTTTCAACAATCTATTCCACAACGCTCTTTTGTTTGCTTTACTTACCATAAGTTCTGTCACTGTTGTGTTAGGCGTTATTGCTGGGGCTGTTCCATTTGTTTCAGCAGTTCCATTGGTTGCAGCAGTTCCATTGGTTGCAGCTGTTCCATTGGTTGTAGCAGTTCCATTGGTTGCAGCAGTTCCATTGGTTGCAGTTGTTCCATTGGTTGTAGCAGTTGCATTGGTTGCAGCTGTTCCATTAGTTGTAGCAGTTCCATTGGTTGCAGCAGTTCCATTGGTTGCAGCAGTTCCATTGGTTTCAGCAGTTCCATTGGTTGCAGCTGTTCCAGCACTTTGAGCGTAGGTGCCCACAGACATCCAGGACAGCATCACCAGCAGGGCAGTGAGGAGGACTAGTCTGTTGTCCATGGCTGGAGAAGGTGGAGTTAGGTGGTTATTCAGCCTAATGATATGGTCAAACACTTAGGACGTGTTGTTGCAAAGATTATATCATGAAATCTCAGAATAAAATCTTTAAATAAACATAACTCATAATGTTAGTTTGTTACAGCAAGCTTTTAGGGCTGGGCGATAAATCAAATATACTTGTATCTGTTCTACATACGATAGGCAAGGCAAGGCAATTTGATTTATATAGCACTTTTCAGCACGTGGCGATTCAAAGTGCTTTACAGATTAAAATCAAACGAGATTTAAGAACAAATACAGCACAAATACATTATTAAAAAGGCATTTAAAAACAGGCATAATAAGCAAAGGTAATGAAATAAATTAAATAAATAAACACAGCGGCAAATAGGTGCGTTTTTAGTCGGGATTTAAAAATAGGAAGTGTTTCAGCGGACGTGCACGATTTGGGCAGTTTGTTCCAAATTGTTGGGGCATAATAACTAAAAGCTGCTTTTCCATGTTTAGTGGTTATTCTCGGAACAGAGAGCAGACCCGACCCAGAAGACCTGAGACTCCTGGATGCTTCATAGTGATGGAGTAGGTCGTATATATACCTCGGTCCTAAGCCATTTAGTGATTTAAAAACTAGCAGTAGTATTTTAAAATCAATTCTTTGGCAGACTGGAAGCCAGTGTAATGATCTCAGAACCGAACTGATGTGATCCACTTTTCTAGTGTCAGTGAGTACTCGAGCAGCAGCGTTCTGAATCAGCTGCAGCTTTCTGATAGATTTTTTAGTGAGCCCTGTGAATACACTATTGCAGTAGTCGAGTCTACTAAAGATAAAAGCATGGACAAGTTTTTCTAAATCCTGTTGCGACATTAGTCTTTTTTAATCCTTGATATATTGTTCAGGTGGTAATATGCAGACCTAATAACGGTTGTAATGTGACTGTTAAAATTCAGGTCTGAGTCCATCACTACACCCAGATTTCTTGCTTTGTGAGTTACTTTGTAGTCTGCCGACTGAAGCTCTGTGATTACTTTTAATCGGTCCTTCTTTGCTCCAAAAACAATGATCTCAGTTTTTTGTTTGTTTAATTGGAGAAAGTTCTGAGTCATCCAGTCAGTGATGTGCTCAATGCACTTGCTCAGTGTTCTAATCAGAGAATAGTCTCCCGGTGTAATTTTAAAATAAATCTGGGTATCGTCTGCATAGATGTGATAGCTTAGATCGCTCTTTTTAATAATTTCAGCCAGAGGTAGCATATAAATATTAAAAAGCAAAGGTGCTAAGATGGAGCCTTGAGGAACCCCGCATGACATATTTATCAGGGTTGATTTGTAATTGCCTATTGAGACAAAGTTTGTTCTGTCCTTCAAGTAGGAGCTAAACCAGTTTAGAGCTGTTGCTGAAACTCCCACCCAGTTTTCAAGACGGTCTAGCAATATGTTGTGGTCAACAGTATCAAAGGCAGCGCTGAGATCTAATAATACTAAAACTGATATTCTGCCACTGTCTGTGTTCAAATGGATGTCATTTAAGACCTTAACAAGTGAAGTCTCAGTGCTGTGGTTAGGTCGAAAGCCCGACTGAAACACATCAAAATCGTCAGTTAAAAACATGAAATTACTCAACTGTTGAAAAACTGCTTTTTCAATCAATTTGCTTAAAAAGGGAAGGTTTGATATTGGCCTGTAATTATTCATTATGGTTTTGTCTAGGTTATGCTTTTTTAGCAGCGGTTTAATTATTGCAGTTTTCAGGGCCTGTGGAAATACACCTGAGTGAAGAGACTTGTTTACTATGTGTAGTATATCTGAGGCCAAGCAATGAAAAACAGTTTTGAAAAAAAATCCTGTCGGGATGATGTCGAGGCTACAGCAGGAGGATTTCAGATGTTGGATAATGTCTTCCAGGTCTTTAGCATTTCTCAGACGGAATTGTGACATGATTTCTGAATTGACTTTAGGTGGACACAGGGACAGTACATTTGCTGTACCTGATGCAGAGGCAATGACTGCCTGTCTAATTCACATGATTTTGTCAGTGAAGAAGGAGGCAAAATCATTGCAGGCCCTGGTGGATAGAAATTCTGAGGCTATCGACACTGGGGGGGTTTGTTAGTCTGTTGACGGTAGCAAACAAGGCACGCAAGTTGTTTTTATTTTTGGTAATGATGTCAGAGAAGAAAGACTGTCGTGCCTTTTTTATTTCCTGATTATAGAAACCGAGTTTCTCTTTATATATTTCCAAGTGAACCTGGAGATTTGATTTTCTCCACCTGCGTTCAGCTTTTCTGCACTCAGTTTTTTGTATTTCATACTATAGATGAAATGTCTCTAAATGTTTTTAAGCAACCAGCATTAGACTTGCTTTGGCTTATTGCTTCAGCTGCTCTCTCCCATAGCTCTCTTTACCTCTCACAGAAACACACAGTAAAGCCCAGATATATAACACATACAATCGCTGACTATCAACACCGGTAGAGTGGGCCAGGGCTGTTTACAAAGAGGCGTTTAAAATGCGTCGTCCATGAGCGGCAAAACGAATCAGGCGCACCCTGAACTTATGGCCATACAGCGGCCAGTGAGGTTTTGGCAATTTTTCATATTGCAATACTAAGCTTATTGAAGAAAACGTCATATTACAATGTAAGTGTTTCGAATATGGTGCAGTCCTAATTTCTACATTAGAAATAATACAAAATAAAAAAATTCACTTGAATCACTGAAGAATCATAAATCAAAATAGTTGTTATATGATTTTGGCCATATTCATGTGGGACATGTGTTTTTAGTGATTATACAATGCATTGCTTTTCACTTTTATTTAGCTTGATTGAAGGGAAATGGTAATTGAAAATGCCACCTTGAAAGGTCATGGAAATGTTTTGACATTTAAAAAAATGTGATATCTTGATATTGTAAGATGTAAATGATTCCCAGTTTAATGTAACTATTCTATCATTCTGATTTGATACCGATACACAGGAGTGGTGGGGTGAGGCCCGGGCATCATGAATAGCCCTTTAATGTCTAAATATATAAATCCTCATACTGGTGTAATGGAAACGGATTTAAAATAACTGTGCTATATATGGCCTAAAAATATAATCTTGATAATTTGAGGTCTTATCGCCCAGCCCTGCAAGCTACTCTCTTCAGGGGTTGTTGAAGAGAACATGCAATAGGCTAGATGTAACTAAAATAAAAACATATCATTATTGAACCCAATTTTATTAAACTAAGCACCATTCATTAAGGTTATTTACTGTATTAAACTGAATACAATTATCAGTAACATTTGCTAACTAATAATGTAACTATATTTATTGTAAAAATGAACTGTAAAATGAAATGAAAACAGTTCATCTAAAATATAAATAACTATAGATTTTATCATAATATATTTAACTTAATATGAGTTTTTATTTACTTAAGTGTTGCTAATTTTGACGATTTAAATCACTGAAAATATAATTAGGTGATATATGTTATATATTATATATTAAGTTATTTTTCACTTCAAAATACATTTTAATTATAGTAGAGTTCAATTACAAGATTTCCTCCAGAAGTAACAGATGTCAATTTGTTGCATTATTTAAGCTTACCTTTTTTTTTCTGCACTTCCAACGGTCAGGGAATTCGGGTGAAGAAGAAAAAGAATGCTCAGTTCTTTGATCTTGTGTAGTTTTAGTCTCAGGTGTCACAGAGGGACCACTTGCACTTAGGATGTTCTTAGCAGGATCCCAGGTAAAGATGTGATACCTATGCCCTCCGTGTCCGTATATATATATATATTTAAACTAAAGGGGGTTGGGCCAAGTACAGATATCAGAGTCAAAACAAGAAAAACACGTTCTCAGACATCATGCATGGGTTTTTTAGGTGGAGCTGTGCGTAAAGGAATAATGCCTCAAGCGTTAGTGATGGAATGTAAGGCAGGGCAAGTTTCTGTATGTAGCAACTTTCAACACAATGCAATTCAAAGTGCATTACAAAAGTGAACAAACATTACGAGCAAAGGTACAGCAATAGTGCAGCGGAATCACATTATAAAAATAAATTAAAAAAAAGTAATTAAACAATAAAAATAATCAAATAAGCTTATATAGAATAATGCAGGTCTAAAATACAAGTATAAAAGCTACAGTGCAGTGGAAGATTAAAAGCAGCGTCAAAAAGAATGGTCTTCAGCCTGGATTGAAAAGAGATATGAGTTGCAGCGGACCTGCAGTCTTCTGGTAGTTTGTTTCAGATATATGAAGAATAATAACTGAACGCTATTTCTTCATGTTTAGTTCAACTTAGTTATTTCACCTGAAAAACATTTCCCGATATAAGCCCTCACTCTCAACTGATGACATCAAAAAACTGGTTCATGCACTCGTCTTCTCAAGACTAGATTATTGCAATGCACTCCTCTCCGGTCTCCCAGCCAAATCCATCAACCGCCTGTAACTTGTCCAGAACAGTACAGCCAGAGTTCTCACCGGTACAAAAAGGTCCGCACACATAACCCCCATACTTAAACAACTACACTGGCTCCCAGTCCACTACAGGATCCAGTTTAAGGTTCTCCTCCTCACTTACAAGTCAGTGCCTCTGCATCAGGTACAGCAAATGTGTTGTCCCTATGTCCACCTAATATCAATTCAAACACCATGACACAATTCCATCAGATTAATGATAAAAACCTAGAGGACATTATTCAACTTCTGAAATCCTCCTCCTGCTGCCTTGATATGATTCCAACAGGATTTTTCAAAGATGTTTTGCCTAGCATGGCCTCAGATCTACTTCATATAGTAAACAAATCTCTTCACTCAGGTATTTTTCCACAGGCCCTGAAAACTGCAGTCATTAA